GAACACATGTGTACACAGTGGCTACTTAGCACAGCCTTTCATAAGCCCATGATGCATAGAGGGTTTAATAATTACGTATGGTCTACTACACCAATCAAACTGGCTGCCTTACAGCAGCATGAATTCAAGGCTTTGCAGCCATTTGCAATGGGCAACCATCCATCCTAGTGGGTCAAGCAACAACACCCATCACACAACAGCCATTCAATACCATGGCTCGAGATATGTACATGTTGTAGCATGCATACGCATGTGCAGAAGGAGCAGGCATGCATGCCAACTCCATCCCGACACATAGGTCAAACATTAATCATGATGCTAGTTAGCAGTATGTAGCAGGCCCTCAATTATACCGACCATCCCTCTGTACTTGTTTCCATGCCCCAGAAGTCACAACTACGTCTAACCCTTAATGTTGTTCCCCTTCAAGGCTGATGATATCTGCTTTGCACTGACGCCCAGGGTATCACACGCCCAGGGCACAGCATGTCTGCCCTTGTCGATAGCCAGGATGCCCAGAACAGGCCAGGTTACCTGCATATATAGGAAGTAATGAAAGCTTGTCAGGATACAGGAACTGCTGGTGGTTAATCAATGTCCTGTCGTTCCTCACTTTATCAAACATGGTCAAGGGGTAGTCCTTGATGGCGAGTGTCTTGGTAGGCTCAGGCAGGGTAAATTTTGCACGGTGGTGCAGCCCCTTCATCTTGCCAATGACCAGGATCTCAATGGTGTCCTCAATGGAAACCGATGCCTGCACCACCAAAGAATTAGTAAAACCGGATCCAACTGAGTAATCAGTTGCAGAAATGGCCAAATTATATGTTGCAAGTTAGAACACAGAGTGTACAGCAATCTGCCATAATATATACTTGCCATGTCACTGAGCACCAAGCCCGCCCCAAGCACTGATGGTGTGCTCGGCTTGTCTTTGGAGCCGCCCACCAGATAGCAGCCAATCGTCTTGTCAGCCAGATTGTTGAGGTAGGACACGTGGCCGCCTGCCGACTTGTACTTGTCCATCTCCTCCAGGCTGTCATCCAGAAGGGAGGCCCAGC